CATTGTTCGTTGAAACACCTTCATGTGTTGGGATTATTAAATGATCCCACCACCAATACATAAATGAGAAAGATACCTCATACCAAGTGATCTTCTAATGCGAAGCTCTTTCTTGGCGGCGTCTCACCATTTTCGGCCTAGAACCGTAAAGAACGCTCAAGATTACTTGGTAAAGAACTTATTAGACCTAATCAAAGGGCCTAAATACGGAAACGCAGGGTAATAATATAGACCCAAGAGGCCGTAGTGTTCTGTGCCAAATCTAACCCTACCTGCTTATAACCGACAAAGATGAAGATAATTATTTAACCAAATATAAGAGAAAAATTAGAGCAACATATTTGAAAAGGATTTAACGAGTTGGATAGTGAAATTATCCGTAAGGTAACAACTAATTATGTTAAAAAAAAAAAATGTTGAAATGTTTATAAGCTAGCGGGGGGCATTTTGAGCACTTGCTAAAATGATTTACAAACAGAAAAAAATTATTATCTACATTTAAGAAAAGCTTTACACTTGGAAAAATACATTTGTTTGAAATAAAACAGAGTTTGCTTCAAATAATTTTTCTCCATACAATAAGAAAATAAATGTTGAGTGAAGTGTAGGCATAATCTTGTATTTCAAGATTTAAAATAATTATTCTGAGAATAAATTATTTCATTCGAGTCTAGAACTGTGACTTAATCCAAGAAAGCTCTTACATTTATTGTAAGTATATGCTCTTAAAAACGACTATTGCGTACTTGATTCAATGTTATAAAAGGCTTCAATTCAAAGCGTTTAAATTTCAGAACAACAATTAAATAATTCGAATCAAGAACCTACACGGAAAAAAATGTGACTAGAAAATTTTACTACAATGTTGTAGTAGTAGACTTGTAGAAAAATACTTAATTTTTTGTAGAAAATTTTACTACAGTTTATAGTTAAAAACTATTCATTATTGTAGCAATTGAATTGTCGAATAAAATGCTACAACAATAGGAAAGAAGACCACAATGTTTAGTATATTTTACTATTGTTTGTAGAGATAGAAATTTATTACAATTATCGTAATTACTACTACTAACTTCTGTAAAAATTTGTACAAATATTAATAATTATCTCTACAAAAAATAGTAATTTTCTCTACAAAAAATAATAATACTTTACATCCCTTCTTATGAAAAAAATTCAATTTTGTTCAAAAATATTCTATAATATTGTAGAAATTCTAAGTCATGTGAATAAAACAGAATTCTGATATTGGCCAACGTTTTCTGACGTCGACCATAAATAGCCAGACAGCAGTAGGCGTTCGCCATGTTCACAAACCAAAGCATGGTACATATATAACACAATATTATATTATAAGTAACCCATGCGTTTGAGAAAATGTTTATAATAACTTTTATTAGTGGTAAGTACATTAATTATTGTTTCTGAATAATTTACCTTTAGATAACTAGTTTAAATAACCTTAGTAGATTATTTTAAAAAATATAGTGTGGCCAACGATCGAATGTTGTGCCAAGTTCAATGATGTTTTTTTGTCTTAATTGTGACATACCTACTTTCTCATTTTTGTTAGTTTTCTGACGTAGTCATTTAATATCCCAATCAATATAAAAGTGATTAATATTCCCGTTTTAAGGTTATGAGCAGTTCAGTAGGTATTAATTTTTATTTCATATTTTTCAGGTGCAGAAAAGCCAACTGACACTGAGGCAAATATTATTACTGTTATTCATTACCTAATGTAATTACGACTTTGTATCTTTTATATTAAAATAAATTTTAAATATTTTATTAAGGAACATTTTTTCTAGGTTATATTTATAATAATTATAAAATACTACTACAAATTTTATTAAAAATTCCTACAATTTGTATGAATTTTTACTATTTATAGTGTAAAATTTTCGTATTAATTTTCATGAAATGCAATACATTTTTAATATAAATTCATACAATGAATAGCAAAAGTTATAACAATTTGTAGAACAGTTCTTATGATGTATTTGGATATTTTTACTACATATTGTAGATAATGACTCTACAATAAATTCTCTACAAATATTTGGAAATTTTTACTACAAATTGTCCCTGTCTCTATATGTACTATTTATTGTAGAGAAAAAATGTATAATTGTAGAAATGTATTCTACAATTTTTTTTCCGTGTATGTACTTCACAAAAGATTAGCTAGTACAAATTCACTGCATGGTGTTGCTAGCTGAAACTTATTTTTAAATGTAACCACTGCACTCGTACGGTAGATATATGACTGGAACGTGTTGAGATGTAATACTTATTACTCAGAAGTCAGAGACACAATGCATTTATAGAGAATCTGGCAAATTGGCATTAACATGTGTTCATCCTATTGTCCATTTTCGTCGTATCGTTAGGGTTGTCTTTTACTTTTTGTTAAAAATTCTTTGGGATTCAATAAGTGTATAAATAAATTAAATTTAAATGAAAGATTTGTTAGATGAATGAGGCCTCAGCGACCCGATACCATTATTTAAATGTAAGTATATTTAGTTCACTTCTTGTTAGGTATTATATATAAGTAAATTTATAATCATAAGAACACGAAATAAATTGGAACATAAGTAAAAAAAATGTATGATGCTGGATGACGACTTTTTGGAAAGACTACTTCTGCCTTGCTAAGACAAAAGGTCGTATCTACGAAAATTCCGATTTCAAGATTCTGAAAAATTTAATAAGCTTACATTTTATTTTATTATGACACAAAATAATAAAGGCCTATTTGCATTAGAAAATATTTACTATAATTATAAGAAAAGATTAGTAAAATATGCAAAACTTATTTGCGAAGTAATTATCTACCTACCCATTCACATTTACTAAAAATATTTATTTTGTACATACAATCCCATAGCAGGACATGCTCCATTTAGGTTTTGTAGTTACATTTTTTTAATTGTAGGGGGGACACCTCAGAAAACAGAGGAATTTGGTACATTAACTAAAAACAATTTTGAAAAATATTTTTCGGTAAGTAGATAGATAGATACCAATGAGAACAGCCTGTTCTTATTTCAAGATTATTAATTTCTTCAATGAGACTATTCTATATTTCAACCAAAATCAATATATTTATGTCAAAGCCAATATAAACATTTCTTGGAACAGATCATATTATTATTGTAGCAAATTAAGTTGTATTGGATTTAAGAAGGTATTATTGAATATAAATGAAATATATTTAGTGTAAGACTATTTCATTTAAGATGTACATAATACTGCAGTTGAGCAATAGCTTCTATTCATTTAATTAGAGGTATTTTAGTTAGGGCAAGTTGATTCAAATATTGAAGCAAGGCTTATTAGCTATTGTTGGACAAGTATTACTAAAATTTCAAATCGAGACGAGTTTTACTTGCGGATATACAAACACAACAAAGCATTGAAACAAGACCATTCATCTTGAATATAGTACACCTATTTTTCTGTGTAAATTTCATTTGCTTTTATTAAGAATTGTTTTTAGTTACATAGTGCGTAATTTATCATTAAAAAAATAATATTAAAACTTTTTAAACAACTTATTTTGTTGCTGAAAACTAATTAGTTTTAAAATGTACATCCCATCTTATACATCTGGCTAAAATTTCAAGTATCTAATAGAAATAGTACTTGAGATAGACGAATTTAACAAAACGTCTACCGGCGACTAAAAATTTAGAAAACATTGAATAACGCTAAATCAGCTAGAATTAGAATTGGCAATGGGATATAAAGAATTTTATGCTGAATCTAAATTTAAAAAATTAATGTGCCATTCCATTTTTAATAACGAAGTTAGCGGTCACTCCGGCATAACCGGAAATCGTACAGAGGTCATTTTATTTAAGAGAGCATAATATATTTCGCTATGTATACTCAAAAATTTGCAAAAATACAAATTAATTTATTCGCCATAAAGTTTTAATGCCCTCCTTACGTGGGAAATTGTGTATTTTGTGTACTATTTGTATACTATTTTTGTAATTATTGTACTGTTTATGTACTATTTGTGTATTATATAAACTATTTGTTTACTACATGATTGTATTATTTGTGTACTATACATATGTTCTATTTGTTACTACTCTTTGTGCAATATTAGTTTATTATCTTTCACTAAGTGTATAGGGTTCCGTAGTATACCCACTTGGCAGGCATTGCTGTTTTTAATTTTCATCTATTTCTGTACTATTTAAGTATTATTTGTATACTATGTGTACCATTTGAGTATTATGTCTGTACTGTTTGAAGCACAATGTATAGGTACTAGCATTATACATGTATCTTAGTTATTTATCATCAGTATAATTTAAGTTTCTGCTGAAATATTCGAAAGAAACGCCCTAATAATCTTTAGTCTTTTAATTTTCTGTTACACCCTAGTTTTTTAAATAAAAATTAAATTTTAACAATTTGCAGATAACAATATTTGGAAAACTGGAGTTTGTAGCTGATTTTTTCTATTTTTTTTTTTCTATTTACAAGTTTTTGCTAAAATCAAAAACTAACTGAGTTTTGTAGTAAACCGTTTTCCAATAATATTTTTGTAAAAACTTGTAAAAAAATATTTCCCTCTTTATCATATACTTGTAAGCAAGGGTATCCTAAATTAGCAAATATAAAGTGATTCGGCCAAGGTCAAACTCGCTCTTTTGATTGTAAACATTTAGTATAATATATGTTTTATTATTTTTTACGTTTAATGTAAGTAAGTATTAAAGAAAAGTCGTACTATTTTTATTATACATTTTACTAAATAAAAAATATATAATTTGATTGATATGCGAATATGATTTTTATTGATTAATTTCCAAATTATATCGGAATTCATGAATATTTTAAGAAATATCTCTACCAATGGATAATTTTAAAAATATTTCTAAGAACAAATTATATTAATTGTTAGTTTATTGGAAATATTATAAAAGTAATCTTTAATATTTTGCTAATTTCAAATCCTAATGTACTAACAGCCCACAATGTCTTTTCGAAAATACTCAGCTTATAACGAGTTGGTAAGTAAAAGTATTTTTGAAGCAGCTTGGGAGGCCATGAAACAAGCAGGACTGGAAGAATTGCAATTAGCAAAAGATGTTGGCGAAGTAGATGAACAAGGAAATGGTCTAATTGCAAAGATTGTTGACAGTGCATGGTCTAAGCGGTCATATACGGTTAATTATAACGCTTCATCTGGAGTTGTAAGTTTATATTTTAATATTATCACGTGTGATACAAAAACAATATTTTTAAAGTGAGCCATGACCGCGTGATTTTTCCATGGTCTAGCTTAGAAATATATTTTATATTTGACATAACATATAAAGAGTTTATTTTTAAATGCACCAATTTTTTACAGGCTTGCATTATTGGGGCGAAAACTGGAAAAGTTTTTTATGACTTTTCTAAGAGCAAGTATTATTCTATATTTGCTCAAGCTTTAACTAAAAACGAAAAGCTGCAACTCATAAATGATCAAAAAATTGGGATGGTTCTCGACTTCTATGGAATTGGAACTAATTTTATAGACGAAGCAAAAAAGTTCGGAATTTTTTAGACTAAGACGGATCGGAATGCAATTTTTGGCATTCTCTTCTTAAAATATTTTGGAAAAAATGCCCCTACTTTTTATTTTATACAAACCGGAAATTGCATTGCTGCAGCCAAAAATGTATGAAAAAATCTGATGTGTCCAACACATGACTTTCCTATCTAGTTATTACAGGCTTTTTCCGGTTATATTGTACAACCTATTGCAGCACCTCCATAAATGTTTAGAGAATAAAATAAATATATACATTGTTCACATAAATCTACCTCGAAACATTTTTCTATAGATATTCATTGAAAATGAAAATACTGAAAAATTTAAATTTAGCACTTTTCCTACAATTTTTCCATTACGGTCTATTTTAGAAAAATCATGTATAAACAAAAATTATAGAGATCGATATCGCAAACAACTTTTATTTCAACAATTTTCACACTTTGTCAAATTTCTCGAATACGGACCATTTCAGGAAATTTTGACATAAGGCAAGAATTATAGATAATAATATTAGAAATAACTTTTATTCGAACCTTTTTTTTTTTCAAACATAAATAACATATATTTCATAAAATATAAAAACAGCCCCCCATAAAGTAACCCCCAGATGTTCCGACTTTGTCCAAAATCTAATCATTTCACGTCAGGCCGAAATAAAACTTAAGTTTAAAATTTAATGTTTTTTTCTTTATACGTTTTTGAGTTTTCTTCAAATTTCGAAATTTACACATTTTCCCAAATATCTCGAATACGGTCCATTTTAGAGAAATTATGTATAGGATAAAAATTATAGAGAATTATATTACAAACAACTTTTGTTTGAACAATTTTTATAAAAAAATATTTTTTTACATTTTGTCAAATTTCTCGAATACGGACCATTTTAGGAAAATTTTGTATAGAACAAAATTATAGAAAATAATATAAGAAGTAACTTTTACTTGAAGAATTTTCTTCCCCAAACGTAAATAACAGATATATTCCATAAAATATAAAAATGACCACTTATAAAGTAGCCCCCCAGATGTTCCGACACTGCCCAAAAACTAATCAGCACATTGGACGCTGGAACAAAGCTAAATTTTAAAATTTGGTGTTTTTCTGTGTATCGGTTCATGAGTTATGCGACACACAGACACACACACACACAGACACACACAGACACACACACACACACACAGACACACACACACACACACACAGACACACACACACAGACATCATCGCGAAAATAGTCAAAACGAATTCAGGGGACCTCAAAACGTAAAAATCCGTCTATAACTCGAGGTCGAAAAAAATCATGATTCCTATACTTTCCTTATATATGTATACGGATAGGAAAGTAAAAAATGCATTTTTTGAGATTGCTTTTGGAAGATTAAAGAACTTTGTAAATAAGAGTCAGAACTGGCCCAAATCGGATTGCCGGGTGTTTTTGAGGTCGCTGATCATGATTATGATGTTCAAATTGACACATAGCCGACCTGGAGCTCAGGAACGCCGATGAACTTTATCTCCTTGGGACTCTCCCAAAATTCATGCGGGGATAAAGAGAAACTAAGCGTTTGGGTTTTTTTGTGTCGCTGAATTCAAATTGGGCTTTGGTGAATATCCCCCCCCCCCCCCCCCCCCGGATACCTGGTATGCCGAAACCTGGACGTGGACCTCGTCCCCGAGAATTTTCCTGACAAAATCGCCAAAAACAACTCTAAAATCATTGTGAGTGAGTGCGTTTTTTGGGACACTGAATGCAAATGTGGCATCGACGAACACCCCCTGACATCTGGTGCACCAAAACCTTGACGTGGACCTCATTTCCGTGAGTTTTCCTTACACAATCGAAAAAGACGAACCGAAAATCGTTATGAGGGTTTTTTTTTTGGGGCGCTGAAACCGAATTTGCCGTCGAAAACGACCCCTACAAAATCTGGTGCACCAGAACCTGGCCCTGAAGGTCATCTTCGTGGGACTTTCCAAAATTCACGCGAGGAAGGAAAGAAACTCGGCGCTCGGGGTTTTTTGGATCTCTGAATTCAAATGTGGCATCGTCGAACACCTTTCGGATACCTGGTGCGCCCTAACCTGGACGTAGACGATATCCCCGAGAATTTTCCTGACAAGATCGCTAAAAACAACCCGACAATCATTGTAGGGGCGCCTAATCCAAATTTAACGTCGAAAACGATTCCCCGACTACCTAGTGTACCGAAACCTGGGCCTGAACGTCGTCTCCGAAGGTTTTCCTTAAACAATAGAAGAAGACGAAACCAAAATCGTTATGGAAACGCTAAAAAAAGAAAAAGTACTAGATTTTGCTTCGAGTTTACTAGAGTACCAGATTCTTAAATAATGAACTAGATCTAGTACAATTGTACTAGACTGGCAACACTGCTTAGGAAAAAGTTTCTGTGTATACTTACACAACAGCGTTTAAAGCGTTGGGAGAAAAGTGAAAGGCCGCTTGGCAAAGTTCAGAGATCTAGCCGGAGAATATTCTCGTAATTCTTCTTGCTCTATTCAAAGAATTTAATATTTTACAGGACTGGATTAATTTTTTCGAGTGCCTCAGGCGAACATCAATGAATATGTAAAATTATGAAACGATTTTGAAAAAAACAAATATTTTATATTTTGTACCACTGTATATTAAAGCACTTTCCAAAAATCAGTTTTTTACTTTAAATATACCATAAATAAAGCCATCCAAAGCTTTCGCGCGGATACCAAGTGTATATTATCGAATATTAGCAATAGTAACAACAATAATGTTTAATTACAAACAATACGATCAATAATTATATGTATAATAATAATTATTACTATTTTACCTTAGAATATAAATAAAATCAATTTAAATGTAGTTAGTCATTTATTTAAAAAATAATTCCACTAGATGAAGGAAGAAAACTTTCGAATTCGTCTTCGAAGTAATAAATAAAAATATTGTCTGCAAAGAAATTACTATCGACACAATAGTTACAATATGCCGACAAATTTGGCCAGCCCGCGTTTCAGGTGGAGATGAATACTGAGAAAGATAGGCTTCGCATTAGTCAGAACATAAACAAAGAGAGGGTTGCGTAGGTACAGAAATATTCTATGAAATGGATGAGGTAGGGGAAGAGGGGGCACAGTGTTACACAAAAAATGTATTAATTATTATTGCTTCAAGCAGATATAGTAGACCAATTCTGTCTTAAGCAATAGGTTGGTATAAATGTTGACTATCATCGGAGAATTAATCACGGATCCAGTTCTAAAGATAAGGTTAGAGTGACACATTTTTTATTCGGGATACACAAGTAACACTGTTCCCCACCACTGGGGTACAGTGTTACACATACTGGGGTACAATGTTACAGTGAAAGTTAGAATGGAGTACCTATGATGTTTTATAATAAACAACAGTTTCTTATGAAATTTTTATTTAAAAAATATGTAACATAAATCAAAAACACATTTACTCAACTTTAACTACGACCTAAAAATAATAAGTGATAGTAAATTAAAGTTATTTTAAAGTATTATAATATTGACCGTGGTCTACTGAGAAAGTTAACATCTCGGATCGCCTGGCTGTTCCTCCAGATGGTTTTGGAGTAGGCAATTTTGCTAGAACGTTGACCAAGTCGAAAGAATATTTTTCAAGAGTACGAACAAATTTGAAGGTTGGATGTAATCGACGGATATATACCACATTAATTTCGTTATCTCTTTTATTTTTTATAAGCCCTACCGACATAACTTCGTGTCCCTTCGTAATCCCTTCTTTTATGAGAACATAATCTCCCTTATTTAATTCCATTTCCTGATGAAAATCTATCTGTTCCACATCATCGCTGACAAATGAGCCAACACTTGCGTCACTTTCTGCACATGAAAAATGTGAATCTTCTGATGAAGAATCTTGTTGAACTTTTTTCTGTAATTTTGATTTTTTTGGTTTGAATACGTTTCGGGTAGCTTTGTTTTTACGACTATTTATGTCTGCAATGATTTGATCTTTGATTGGAGTTTCAGTGAGAATCTCGCTTTTGCGTTTCCGGGTTTTTTTGTTTTTCCTTTCGGATGCTTTTGGATGAGGTCGAACGTCTGTGGGCATCACAAGACAAGTAGAATGTTTACTTGACTGTACCAGAACAGAGGACTGGGAGTGTCTTGAAGTAGATGGAATCGGAGAATGTGGCGGAGTAGAATGTAAAGGTGGCTCCAATTCATCGTCTCCTTGATTTCCTAAATTTTCGATTTCGACTTCCACATTAATAGTCTGATCTAAATATGGCTGTGGTCTATCTGTAACAGCTGATGCCAAAAAATCATCATCTGTATAGATGCCTCTATTTATTGGCCAAATTCCAGTACATCTGAATCCATTTACAATATTATTGGGAGTGAATGCTAATGGATACGCTCTACCCAGCAAACCAGCAACTTCATAAATTGTTATGGTCTTTCCAGAATTCATGACCATCCAATCATTACAAACTTTATTGAAATTTGTCTTCAAAGACTTGTATACCGTTTTATCAAGCGGCTGAAGTTTTCCACTAGTGTGAGGTGGTAGGGTCAAAAGAATTTTACCGTTGCTTTTACAAAATTCTAAGGAATCAATGGTTATGTGTGACTCGTGGTTATCCAGTATGAGAAGTATGGCTCTTTAGCAGCTTTTACAAAACGTTGGAAATGTTTTAAAATATCCACGAAAACTTCTCCATTGACCCATCCAGTTTTTGCAGCCGAACCCCCAGTTCCCGGAGAGGCTCCTGTTAACATTCTATCTTTAAAATGTACGCGTGGGAACACCAAAAATGGAGGAACCGAATTTCCGGTTGCATTAATGAAACAACAAGCAGTCACCAATACACCTCTTTCGCCAGATGTAACTTGTCCAATCTGTTTTAAGCCTCTTTGTCCAATTATATTTGGAGGATTATGTACCGTTGTTAGGGCTGTTTCATCCAAATTATATATATTTTCTGGAAATGGACCGTTTGGAAATTTATCGTATG